AGGTAGGAGGTTGGGGAAGCAGGATCTTTTAAACTAGGGGCTGGGCAGTCTCTGAGGCCTCCTTTTCTATCCCACTTACTTTGCTTTAGGAGTAGATGGGAGGTTTATGTGGTGACTATTGTTCGGATGTACCGCGGTGTTCTCTGTCTTCCCCAGCCCCTGCCTGAAGTAGTAGATTCAGCATGGTGGGAGCAACCCGACCTCATGCGTTGTACAGTTTGACAGATTCCACCCCTGCCCGGACAATTTGGGTCTACCGAAATGGTGATCCATTCTACTTGGGGAGGAAGTTTATAATCAACCACCGATACGTGCCCACCTTTGAAGCTTTCATGATACAGCTGAATGAAGGTGTGCCAACACCCTTTGGGGTGCGGAACCTGTATACACCCCGGCAAGGGCATGTTATTACAGACCTACCTGACTTGCAGCAGGGAGGTAGATACGTGGTTGCTGGCAGGGAAAAGTTTAGGAAGCTGAAGTAAGTATGAAGACAGTATAATCTCAGTCCTTTGGACAGTACATCCCAACCTGCGAAGTTTCTTTTTCCTCCCCTTCCCCCTCAGTTTTATTAGATAACAATCCAAGGCAGTACGAATTCCAAAGAAAATTGGTACATTGCTAATTTTGAACCACTTTCCAGTATTCCCAAAGAAAAAAGAGACGCTGATGGCAAAAGACCAGGCCTGGCAGTTTAGCGTAAAACTGGGAAAATATTAGTGGGAAATTCAAAGGTCCTTGTTGCAAAGGTTTTTCTGCATCCTTTTGCTGTGTAAACAACATTGCCTTTGCAGTACTCATAATCCGCAAGAGAAACTGATGAAGTCAGTGGATACGTAGCTTGCCTGATACGTATCTTCTAGGCCCTAAATTCACTGAATAATGGTTTTAAAATCCCACTGAATAGAGACATGCCCCAAATTGTTAGGTAATCTAAAATTCTTACAGAAGAAATATTTCCTTCTTTATATTTTTCTTTCTCCGCTGTATTGTACCTTTCGATAGGGAGTCCATCTTTGGAAGTATATGACTGTCCTGCCTCCAACACAACTCTGTTTGCTGTGTTTCATATTCCTTGTTCCTTCCTCTGCCTTGGATTTATCTAATTATTTTAAGGGCTTGAGTACAATATGAAATTCAATCTGCTCTCTTTCCCTTGCCATTCTCTTACCTGGATAGGGGAAGAGTTGCAAAGAGATAAGAAAAGATAGCTGTATTCACACAACATACTTAACTAGATCCATTACACACTTAGTGGCCACCTAAGCTTGGTTAGTTTTATCTTTGGCCAGATGTTGTGCCATTGCATGTTGTGTGATCATTCAGGAACCATAAGCTCAATAACCAAGCTGTGTGTTTTGTGAATATAGCCTATGAATAGAGAGCTCTTTTCTCATATGCTTTTTCTTGCTGGAGCAGGGAAATTAGGAGCAGAGCTACAACAGTATAGACCAGTAGCAGATCCTTCTAGCTGAAGGATCTCTCCTTTGGGTCACATACTTTCTCTTCTCTTTAAATAATTTTACAGAAAGTGGAGAACGGCAGAAGCATTGATTTGGCTTAAATAATAGCTAATTATTTGTGGAGTGGTGGTGAATGGCTTGACACTAGCCTGTTTACCAGTGGCCAGCTGGTAAAATCATTTGCTTACCAGGAACCCATATTTACATCAGTTTAACAATTGCCTACATTGAATTGAAAGGACTAAGAAGATGGTTGCATTTTTAATGATAACTTTTGATTTTCAGTCAGGGTTAAAATTTTACTGTCATAAAATTGGAAATGACTTCAGATATAATCCATAATCTCAACTTGTTCTCATGGTATTTCACCTATATGCAGAATGATTCATAGTTAAGACTCATTTATATCACTGAGACTCACATCCAAGTAAATGCAAACTGGATTCCACATTTGTTGAGCTGTAATTTATTGCTGAGTTTGCTGAAACTTGGTACATCTAGCTTTGGTCAGTTTATGAGATTTGGTGTTCATGCCAAATGAAATAGGCTGCTGCCTGCAATTCCCACTGTCAGATAGTGATACATTATTTTATGTTATTATGTAGTGATGTGCTTACTGTGTGATACCTGGTCAGTCTATTTACAGAGCACAGAGGACATAATTTTAGCCTCTATTCCTTTATCCCAGCAAAAGGAAATAGAATTGTCAAAGATTCATTACTATTATTGCTATAATTTAAAGTAAAAAAATAGAAATAACCCATGGTGCATTGCAGGTTCTATTGTATCAACCATGCTGTTTAATATCTACAGTAAACTACAGTATTGAGAAAAGCTGTGGTAAGGATTTGGAGTCTGATATCCTTAATGATGATACCCAATTATATCACTCTTTTCATTTTGAAGCCCAAAATGGCAATTTTAATTTTTTTTAATTTTATTTTTTTTCCTAGAATCATAATGAACTGAATTATAATAAATTGAACATCAGTGTGGATACAGCTAATTTTTGATGGATAGTGTGGTTCATCTTGTGGTGGTTGTTGCTTTGTTCTTGATGGAATCATGTTTGCATAGAAAGTTGGCTGGTGTGGGTCTTCCGGGCTGTGTGGCCGTGTTCTTGAAGTTTTGTTTAAAGCTGTGGTAAGGATTTGGAGTCTGATATCCAAAAAATTAAAATTTTGCTTTGTTCTTGATGGAATCATGTTTGCATAGAAAGTTGGCTGGTGTGGGTCTTCCGGGCTGTGTGGCCGTGTTCTTGAAGTTTTGTTTCCTAACGTTTTGCCAGCACCTGTGACTGTGGGTGCTAATCACCCCCAGCAGCCCCTTGTTAACAATTCAATAGAAGAAAAAACCCTGACTAATCCCCAGGAAGATACACACAGATGCTGACACCAAAACAAGCAGCCACTCAG